AGTTTTAAAAGTGTAGAAGATTTCCTTTTTCATAATGAAAGAAGAAGAGGAGGAACTTATTTTATTTAGAAAACCAGGTACTTCAAAGCTTGAAAATTTTAGCAGTTAACTTTTGGAAATCACCACGTGGCATTTGGAGCCAGACTGCAGCACAAAACCTTGAGTTAGATTTCTCTTTGGGGAAGAGAACAGAAGAGGTGTGGGCCTGAATTTCTGACTGGAAAAGTTAGTGACCACATGCATGCTGCACAGAAAGCGCTGCTGCACTGGTTTCTGGCAAATTAAGTTGGGACCCCTGTTCTGCACAACACCACTGACTGCCATTGCCGTTCTCTCACCCAGTGCTACTGCTGCAAACTATAACATCTGCCTGGCAATTAAATCCCCAATACGTGATCAAGGAAGATTTTCTTGCTTTGTTTTATATAGTACAGGATAAAATGACTAGCTTGGAGTAGGTATTTCAAATTTGTGTCTGATTAAAGTTGGCTAAAGAAGTATCTGGGTTTATTTCTTCAGTTGTTTTATTTTCTAGTATTTAAAATAAGCTTTGTGACATGGAAGCTTCACTCTTCTATTTGGAAGGTTAATTTAAATTAATATATTTTGAGAGTAATGTAAGGATTCTGACATTTAACAGGTGTAGAAAATATGAAGCTGCTTACTTCTAAAGGAAAGCTTCTGAAACTAGCTTGTTACAAACAAATATTCCAAATACAACATTACTGCTGGAGTTCTTCAGTATACATTTTCCAATTTTCCCAATTCAAGGGGAATTATACCAATGCAGACTTCCCCTGAAAATGAGAAGCTTCTTGTCTTATTCAGACAAACTCATATATTCTATTGCAAGCCTAAAAGGTAATGCAAATGCTTATTATGCACATATAACTGCATGAAGCTACTGACTGCTTTCTGTTTTCCTTTATAAATAAGCTTTTATACTTTTGTTAAACAAGTTTTCACAATATTGTGAAATCCACAATCATTAAGTTGTCATTGACATGGCATTTTGTGGAAGCTAAGTAGAAACACACAAGACGACAGGTTGAGTGTATCACATTAACTTGCAATGTCACCCACCCATTCTCTGAGTCGAAGATGACAAGCAACAGAAGACATGCTAAGCCTCTGCAGGTGAAATATTAAAGTCAGAGTAATCATTTGAAATTGTTAACAGAGAATTCATTGACAAAACAGGGACATGATTTGTTCAGTCAGTTCCCTAATCCTAAATGCAATTCTGTGCAAAATTTCAGTGTTTATTGTAGCCTCATCAGTTACTGGTTTACGTGGAAGTGCCACCACAGTTCACCTTTTGCGAGAATAATAGATTTAGTCACTCTCAAGCAATTTCTCCCTCCCCTTTCATCTCCCCTGCATGTTGTTCTCCTCTCCAGCTGCCTACACCATTATCCCCTGCCTTGGTCCCCTTCAAGGGGAAGAGGATCAATGTTTGAAAAGCACTTAGACTTTATGAAGAGCTAAGCATCCCCACTGAGATGCTCACAGCTTTCCTCTAGACCATTAATTTATTTGCTTCAATGCCTGTCCTAACTAAATTTACACTGAGTCTTTGTTGTATACTTAAAGCACAAACCTCCAGGACAAAGCATGACACTTTAATCTCTAATATGCCAAGCAACAGTTTTTACTTTGACTGTTTAAAAACCTTTATCTAGCATTGGAAGATAAAACTAAATTATTCAATGTTTCATGTAAAATGTCATCTGTTTGCACAGGTGATCGTATTAAACCTAATCCGATGCCATTCTACTCTTAGGCGTTATTTGAAATTCTCAGGTTGAGAATGTCTCATCTGACCTGCACCTCATTGTTAATGAAATGTAGGCCCAAAATGCAGGTACATTATTGGAATTAAAAAAAAAAAAACAACCAACTTTTGAAGAAGTTACATTACAAACTCATCGTCACTGGAAAGATGGTCTTGTAAAATGACTGTGCCTAAGATGTTTTTAGTTTTCTAATGGGGCTAAAGAAGATCCACTGCAACAGCAAATCTCCCTTCTCTAAGTTTACTGGAAGAAGGTTACCAAGGGCATTAGGAAGACGAATGATACAATACAACTATTGTATCATGAGGCCCCTGCGCTGTCAATGAAATAAAAAAAAAAAAGGGCCCTTCAGGGTTAAGCACAGTCCCAGGGTTAAGCACAGTCCTTTTCCCTGCTATTTTTTGAGGAAGAAAGGGAAAACTTTGTGGTAGGGAAAAAAAAAAAATCTAATTTTTCTTTTTTTTTTTTTTTTTTTTTTAAAACTGATATACTGGTAAGTATTTTATACAGGGTCAAAGCCTAAATCTTTTTTGGTCGCTTTTTCCTTCAAGCTATACAACGGACAGTTCCTAAGATTCCTCACATTTCAGTTACAACACAGTAAAGAGAATGCTTTTATTTCAACATTTCTGATTGCGTACTGATAAGTCAATAGCTGTAGGGACACTAGCAGATATTGCACGCTAGAATAATAATCCCACAGCGCTTACATACGATGGATTTAAATCCTACCTGGAACGCATAGCATTGATGGCAAATCAAAATCACAAAACTGTAGTCCCATTAAAAGGTTACAGAGTAAACATTAACTTCAATAACTGCAAAAATTTTAAGTAAACCAAGTGGGCAAACCTACTACTGCATCCAATTCCGTGGGCAATTTGGACCATTCATTGCTGACAGATAAATATCCATCAGATAATGTCTAGAGATAATCACGCCTAATTTAGGTGAGTAACCTACTTTTTACTACAGATACATGCAATCCAAACTACAAAGCCATTTAATAAGTAAACTGTGGCTTGTTTCAACTTCGTCTCAATGACTGTTCTAGCAAACAACCTCACAGCAAACAAATAAAACTACTCCAATAACTACATCAACCAGGAACTGTCCTGAAAACCCTTTAGCTCAGCTCCAGCAACAGCCTACCTCTGTACAAGGAAAGGTACCGGGGCTTCAAGGCTGAACTTTCTCAGCCACCATAACACGTGTAAGAACTGCTAGAGTAGCAAGTATTCAGAAGAACCAGTCCACCAACTACAATTCCAATTTAGCCCTGACAGACTCAACTTTTGCTATCTGTAATTACAAAGAGATATGCCCAATCTCAGCAATCTGGGACATACGCAACACAGTGCACACAACTCTGGAAAAGAGCAGCTATTCAGCTATTTCAGCTTGTGGTGGCAACCCATGATACAACTCCAAAGTGTCATCATTAACTTATCCCCAAATCTATCCCATACCCTCAGTGACATAGCTCATCATCGCTCTAAATCCTTGTTGCTTTTGCTCTAACTTAATATATTTTTTGCCACATTTATCTCATGAATTTCCTGTTTATGCCTCGTGGCCCTTCTTTGTACTGACCCATATCTGCTCTACTGCCGGCACACCGTGACACTTTACATTGGAAACACGTAACTAATGCGATGCTTTTTACATACAAACACCTGGCAACAAATTCAAGAGACAATCTTCAGTAAGTACATATTTAACACAGTCAAGTTTTAAGCTATTGTAATGATTCCCCTCACACCAGTCTCTTACTAAACAGCAAGTGCCAGGCCATAGGAAGACAATTGTTTCTTTTCTTTTCAGCTCTGAAAAGGGGATATGCTTCTTCTGAATAATCTCAGAAAAAGGGTATATACA